GGAAAGGGGGGAATAGAAATAAGTTATAACATTGTTACTGGCCTACATAATTCATTTATTTATTTTATACAAAGACATAACTGTGAAAACAAAGCAAGTCATCTGTTTACTGTATACACCTCATGACAAGAATGTATCATCAAAGAGTACATGTAATTAGGACAGAATGCTACAGTACATGAACATGTGTACACATAAAGTAAATTAATGTAAAAACCATCCTAAATTAGAAGTATAATAAATGCACAATTTCACAAGTCATAAGCATGCATAAAGTGTCAATTAGTTTCTTAAAACTAATTGCAAATTTTAATACATAACATACTATACTTTATACACCGTAACTCCATATGCTTTTATTAGTCGATAAAAATCTTTTCATGTACATGATAATCACTTACTCTCTTTAGCAGCTGTGAATATGGTTCCTGGTAGTTTAGGATGAGGCTCAGCAGTTTTGGCTGCTATTACAATATTGGCTCCGTCTTGAGCGGCTTTTAATGCAATAGATTTACCAATTCCTCTACTGGCACCCGTGATGAATAGAGTCGTACCAGCAAGCTTTCTGTATGCATAAGAGAGAGAGGAAAATGCATAAGAGAGAGAGGAAAATGCATAAGAGAGAGAGGAAAAAGCAAAAATAAGTATAAATTAATATTAAAGTATTTTAGTATTTTAATTAGTGAGCTCATTATTTAACCCTTTCACACATTGTCTTTTAAAATATTTTTTAAAAATAAAACTAATCCAAACTTTTAAACAGAAATTAATAGAATGGGTTATGAAATAGTTAATATGAATAATAACTCACCCAGTGTTCTTCAGCAAACTCATCTTTGCGCCTCGTCTCAAAACTCAAACAAATTTAAACTCAAATTTGTGAGTGTGATTCTATAGTTTTCTACAGTGAAGCCACACCTATTTTAATCCTCATATCCTGGCTGCTCAGACCATAGATTATATCCTGCTCATTTGACTTCGTAATGGCTAGCCAAGAGAATCAAGAGATGCAGTCAAATAAAAGACAGTTCACATGGAAGGAATTAAGTCAGCTCAATAAAAGACACAACGCTCACGTTGCTTACAAAGGGAAGGTAAAGTACTTGCAAAGATTTGTGATGCTGTATCGATCTTTATGATTGCATTTTCACCTTTTCTACAAGGTCTACGATGTCAGTAGCTTTGTTCCGAATCATCCAGGCGGCGTAGACCAGATCATGATGGCTTCGAGTCACGATATCACCAACATCTTTGAGCTTTATCACAAACCAGAGACCGTTAACCAGTAATGTTGTATTATGATGGATAAGATAATGCACTAATTACTTCTTGTTGTTTCTAGTATCCTCGAGAAGTATTATGTTGGTGATCTGATTGATAACGAAATGCCTGTATATAGCAATGAGGAGTAAGCCTGAATCCCACTATAAGCACTACAGCAAAACTCACAGTGCCATGAGAGAAATCATTTTTTCTCTATTTTATTTTGTAGTTCAGATTTCTTTTTAACACTGCAGAAAAGGGTACGAGACTACATGAAGTCTCAGAAGCTAGTATGACGACTGATAAATTATTATGTTACAAGTATCCTGTATACTGTTAATTATAGGATCCTAAATTTGACCCAAGGATGTTCTTTGTCTATTTTATTTTCACGTTCCTAATCTGGACCTGTTGGTATATCATGGTATGTGTCCCAAAAATCAATGATGCATGAGTTATTTGTAATATCCGATGCATAACAAACATGGATAATGGCACTATTTCCTCATAGTACTGATGTTTTGTGTCCTACTCACTTTTGACTACTTGTTCCCTGTTTTCTCAGTTTCATAGTGTAGTTAAAAGTAACAAGAGTGACTGATCAGATTGAGTTTTTATTATTTGAGGTTGGCTTCTGAAATGATGATTCATGTTGTACTGACTTCTCCTTCTTTGCTTCTTTTTCCAGTTCCATAGTATAGTTTATACTATGGAATGACTACCTCATAGCCAGCATGCAATCATCATGCTATTGACCAAAAATTTAATTAGGTAGATGTTTAATTTAATTACTCTCAAGGTTATCTCAGGGCTGTTTGTACATATCCAAATTAGCTCTACAAATACAAAAATGCAGATAGTGATTGTACTACTTATACTGAATTATCACTCAATACTGTAAATATGTTTGAGTCTCAACTGCTTAATCAATACCTATAGCATAGCTAATCATGCAACTGAATACCATATGTCCCAACATTACTATAATGATGCAACTGAACAACATCATTAATAATGATTATTCTATAGATGAGGCTCAGCTCATTTCTGTTACTCAGTTCAGTGTTTGCAATTGGTTGGGGAGTTAGCTCGGGTGTATCAGCACTCACGCTAGGACACGATTCAAGGTAAATCAAACATTGAGTTGTTTGCCAAATACTCAGCTAGCTTGTAGTAGCATAAAGTAATTTGCATGTGTGTGGGTAAAGACTACACCTTAAAGACACAATTATTAGCATGTATTCATCGATTTTAATGATACTGACATTAATATTGGCTGGTATTTAATTTAGCATTTTTTATCATTAATATAAATAACTATTAATAATTTAATCAGAAATTAAAGTTAGTGTGGACTTAATATAGCACTTTTTTAATTGCTAAAATTTGCTGAATTAAATACCCGTTAATAATTGTCTCCTTGAGGTATTTTAAATTGCTTTTTAAATTCAAAATAGTCACTATGCAATTACTCATAAGCCATGGGTCTGGAAAGCGCTCAAGTTTGTAACTGGACTCAATATTGGTTTCTGCTTATACACTTGGTCTTATCAGGTAAAGAGGAGGGCTTACGATAGCTGCTGTGAGTCGATTTTTTTTAGCATATCTATGGTCATCATAAGTTTACAAATGTTGAAGGCTCTGATCCAGATATTGTGACAACTAAAAATGTAAGTAAAGACTCTTTACTGAGTGGACTGTATTTTATTGTTATAAATACATGTAGGTACATTCAATCTGGCGTATTAAAAAGCAGCAGCCGTGGATTTCACGTTACCTTTACCAACATATATACATGCCATTTGTATTCAGTTTGGTAAGCTTTGAATGCGTCACTAATATAAATTTTGGCTGTATAGTTATTATGATGCTAAAATTAAAATTATTATTATATAAATATTTTTAGCTTACTATAAAAATCAAATTGCAAGACTTTCATACAATGTACATCTTAAAGAAAGGTAGTGTATAAAGTACCTTTACAGATTATATAACTAAAAAAATTAACTATATCCAATGTACAGGGCCAGTACGAATGAATCCACCCACACCAATGATCTGGGCCGAGTTTTTCTTCGTTAAAACGTTTCATGTATTTATGCTGTACTATGTACCCCTCTACTACATGACGTGGTCACGAATGGTTAGCCAAATAATGAATGTATTGTATGACCCAAGAATCTCTTATAGCTACTTTTGAATTTGATTTATGAGCTGAGCTTTGGATTTTATCTTGCTTTCTTGACACAGATAACTCACGTTAACACAAAGGTAGTATATTATTAACACTTAATTAAAGAGAATTCAGCATATGCTTTATGCATTACAGGTTATTTGGCCCGATCCTGATGAAGCCAAGAAAGTATACACACACAAAACTTGGTAAATTTAAACATTATCTGTGGTTTAAGTATTGCATGAGTAAATTCAATAGTAGTCTCGCCACGCCCTTCTATAGATAAAAAAGAAAATATATATAACTGTAATGTGTATGACTGATCAATAATGCAAAAAGGTGTTATAAAGAATATTAAGTTCTGTGCATAGAATTTTAAAATATTCTTATAGGGCTGAACTACAAGTTCTTACAACTACAGACTATGCTACTGATGGTTGGCTGTGGACAATTATGTCTGGCTCTCTCAACCACCAAATAGCCCATCACTTGTTCCCTGGAGTCATCCAGTCTCATTATCGCCACATTACACCTATTGTACGCCAGACGTGTAAAGATTTCGGGATTCAGTACAACTACGAGGAAGGATTGAGCGGGACAGTATACAGCCATTTTAAGTATCTCTTGAATATGGGGAGAGGAGTAGAAACAATGGAAGAGTAATGCGCACATTTTTTTTAATGCATAATTTTTATTGTTTTTTTTTTCATAAATGCTGTATTTTTAGGAACAGTAAGCTGTAGTAAAATTATTAAAATAGCTATTTAAGTAGCTATAGTAAAAAATAATTTTCATTAGTAAAATTAATTTTTAGAATACTCTAACCACGTGAATGCACGTGTGCAAAAGCCCTGCCTACTAGGGGCGCGTCTTCAAAATGTCAGCAAGTGAGACTGAGGCTGTTTCTAGTCTTTCTGACTCTGAATCAGTAATCCTAATGAATAGAAGAGTAATAGATGATAAGAAAGAGACTGAAGAAGTAAAAGAGTCGCCGGAAGAGTCAAAGAGTGCCTCTACTCCGTCTTTCGGCCTAAGAAAAGAGCTAACTCTCTTTAGTACTGTGACATTCGTCATTGGAAAAATAATAGGATCAGGCATATTTATCACTCCATCTCGAGTCCTTCGCTATTCCGGCTCATTTGGACTAACACTGATACTCTGGTCACTGGGTGGCTTATTTGCAATTTGTGGTGGACTATGCTACGTTGAGTTGGGTAACATGATCAGGAACTCTGGGGCTGAATATGCTTACCTGAAGGAATCATATAGTTTCAAAAAGAAAAGAAAGTCTTCGATTGTGTTTGGGAATCTCCTAGGTTTTCTCTTCTCCTGGTCCTATTCGTTCTTTATCAGGCCGTCAGCTACTGCAGTTATAATGCTGGCTTTTGGTAGGTATTTTGCTCAAGCAATGGCCGGAGGTGATACTCCACCTGATGTGGCTGTTAAATTATGCTCTATTGCTGCCTTTAGTAAGTTTACAATGGTATAATAGTGTATAGTCCAATGTATATAGTACTGGCTTCACTTACTTTTTAAAATGTGTTTTTAACATAATAAGTCACATTTACTTCTGATCCAGCTCTACTAGCATACCATGTAGCGGGTAAATTTGGAGGGGATTAAATTTGGCGAATTTGGCGTTTTGATAGCCATTCGCCAAAATAAAACCCTGCCATTTTGAGCTATTATACGCATGCTCAATGGCACGTGGCCACAAATTCGCTAAATTAAAAATCTGCCAATCACCAAAATTTAGCAATTCGCCCCTCCAAAACTACCCGCTATATGGTATATAGTGCAATGTATATAGTAGCTTTAATTATTTTTAATTGCCGTTTTAACATAATAAATCACATTTACTTCTGATCCAGCTCTATTAGCATAATATGACCTGTATTATTGTTTATTATATACAATTAGTCTTAAATTATATAACCTCTTTTTCTTCTAGTTTTTATTTCTTTGGTGAATGCTTACAGTCTTAGAGCTACAGCAATGCTCATTAACATCACGTCAGTTGCTAAAGTATTGGCACTTATATTCATCACAGGACTTGGAGTATGGCAACTTATTAAAGGAGGTAGAAAATTGCTGATAAAAATGATGAATTTTCATTATATTTTATGATATAATCATATGTTTTTGTGTTTAGATCATAGTCATAATTTGACGTCATCTTTTGAAGATACCAGTCCTTGTGTTGGTGAGATTGTACTAGCCTTCTACTCAGTGTTGTTCTCCTATGAAGGATGGTATGTTGTGTAGTATTAGGTCTTTGATGTATATTTACTGTGAATCATTTTTCTCATTCCCTTCCTTTACTTAAAGCAGCTATGTGAGCATGTACATGTACATTGCATTTAATACATGTATTATGAATCATGATAATTACCGTATAGTGGGCAAATTTGGAGGAGCTAAATTTTGGCAAATTACTAAATTTTGGTGATTGGCAGATTTTAATTTTGCGAATTTGTCCACGTCCCATTGAGCATGTATATAATGGCTCAAAATGGTGGATTTTTATTTTGACGAATGGCTATCAAAATGCCAAATTTGCCAAATTTATTCCCCTCCAAAATTTTCCGCTATATGGTATTATAATTATCCAGTCTTGTTATAATTCATTGTCAGTATGTAAGTTACATTACACAGGAATTATTTTTGTACTTTAAAATTAATAATTATATTCTATTAGGAATGGGATTGGTTATACTGTAGAAGAAAACAAGAATGTGAAGAGGTAGGATAAGAATACTGTATAGTGGGAAATTTTGGAGGGAATTAAATTTGGCAAATTTGGCATTTTGATAGCCATTCACCAAAATAATAATCCGCCATTTTGAGCCATTATACACATGCTCAATGGCACGTGGCCACAAATTCGTCAAGTTAAAATTTTCCAATCACCGAAATTTAGCGATTTGACAAATTTAACTCCATTCAAAATTTCCTGCTATACAGTACATGTCTCAATACAATATTAAAAAGTTGTGCTTACATATAGGAATCTATTACTTGGGATATTTCTTGGAGTCCCTTGTGTGACTGGCTGCTATGTTCTCGTTAACATTGCCTATTTCGCTGGCTTGAGCAAAAATCAAGTCCTCTCATCACCTGCCACTGCACTTGTAAGACTAATAATAAAATATTTTGTGTCCCCTCAAATTTATCAAAGTTATAAATAAGTATGGTTTTAAATCAGGCAAATATAACTGGTAGGACTAAAATTAATTTTTTTGTGGTGCCTCAAATTTATTAAGTTTTAATCAGGCGAATATAGAAATAACAAATGATCATAAGCATGTACTGTACATGTAGTATTATTTTTTCATTTACTGTATTTTCTAGACGTTAGCTCAGTCTACAATAGGTGATGCTGGTCTTGTCCTGATACCACTGATGGTAGCAGTCTCAACCATTGGAGCTGCCACTGGTGCAGTCTATGCTGGCTCTAGGGTAATGTATACCACTGCCAGAGATGGGAACCTCATTGAAACACTAAGTTTGCTTCACAATAAGTTCCAGACACCAGTCATGGCACTAATAGTACAGGTATACCATAATATATATCCTTAAATAAAAACCGAATGCAAATAAATGCCAGGTTAGCGATAGGGCTAGGCAAATTATGGTAGCATAATTTGGAGCATAATAGGCCAAGTTATTATGCTGACATTGTTGGAGCATAATAAGTCAAAGTTTCTGGCTGACCACATGATCTCAATTCAATGTGGCAAGTGGTACAAGTACTAGTACAACAACCCAACTGCCTAGGCTAGTACCCATCTATGCAAGTGTGGTGAGTCCAACGACTCAGACTATTCTATTTTCCATAAATCACTGGAAAAATTCTGGCATTATTACAGTTTTAACAGATGCATGTACATGTAACTTGATAGTTGATATTTGAGTAAAACTTAAACTATGAGCATATAACGAGCCTATAATTGGATTCATCAGGATATTAGAATGGAATTTGGAGCAGTGCCTAAAAGCATAATAGGCAAAAATTTAAACATAATTTGCCAAGCCCTAGTTAGCAATAAAATTGAACTATAAATGCACAAATCTAACCTTAATAACATAGGTGCCTTGTAGATGCTTCCTTAATCTTCCTGAAGTCATGTGTGTGAGGTTACTGGATTGAATCCGGCTGTTGGTCCAAGTTTTATTTTATTTAGAAAATTTTTTTAAATGTCCAAATACAATTTTAAGAAATAGACACCCTGGCTTTCCTTTAAGGAAATGCGGTACATGTAGTACTGTAAATCAGGAAAATTGTATGGTAGATAATTTTTGTGTTTAAAAATTGTACTGTGATATAATTTTTACTACATTAGATTGTGTGATGTATTATTAAATGTGGCATCTAATTATATGGGCGATCTAATTCTTGCAAAATTCTAATCCAGTAAAATTAAAATCACAGTAAAAAATTCCCAGATAGACTGTAATTAATAACTGAAAAATTATCGTGGAATATGCTATAGTAAATTTAAAGAAATTATTTTTTTGTATTATTTTTTGGATATTAGGGTCTATTGACCTGTCTGCTGATAGTAATTGGTAGTATTGGTCATTTGATTGATGGCCTCACTACTCTCATGTGGGTATTCTATGGACTGGTCTTTGTTGGATTGTTAGTAATGAGGTTCACTAGAAGACAAGAGACAAGACCTTTTAAAGTATGTACACACACAGACACATATTTATATTCATATATTATGTACATTTTAATTTAGTCAGTCTAATGGTCAATTTCAATGTATATTGATGTCCTTATGCTGTGTAGCAAGTTTGAGCTGTTTTCGACAAATAATTTTCGAGTTATTAGCATTTTTTTTAAATGGGCCAATTTTTGAAAAATACCCAAGGCTATAGCCCATGGTTTTTTCCAAAAAAAAGGCTCCGAAATCATCCCAAATTTTTATTACATTTTCTGATACACATTGATGTACTTATGCTACATAGCAAGTTTGAGCTGATTCCGAGTTCAATTTTTTGAGTTATGGCCATTTTACAAAATTTGCCAAAATCTGAAAAATACCCAAAGCTATAGCCCATGGTTTTTTCCAAAAAATAGCTCCGAAATCACCCCAAATTTTTATTACATTTTCTGATACACATTGATGTACTTATGCTACATAGTAAGTTTGAGCTGATTCCGAGTTCAATTTTTTGAGTTACGGCCATTTTAAGAAATTTGCCAAAAACTAAAAAATACCCAAGGCTATAGCCCATGGTTTTTTTTCAAAAAATGGCTCCGAAATCACCCCAAATTTTTATTACATTTTCTGATGTATATTGATGTCCTTATGCTGTGTAGCAAGTTTGAGCTGTTTCTGACAAATAATTTTTGAGTTATGATCATTTCTTTAAATGGGCCAATTTTTGAAAAATACCCAAGGATAGCCCATGGTTTTTTCCAAAAAATTGGCTCCGAAATCACCCCAAATTTTTATTACATTTTTTGATGTATATCAATGTCCTTATGCTATGGAGAAAGTTTGAGCTGTTTCTGACAAATAGTTTTCAAGTTATGAGCATTTTAAAAAGCCAATTTTCAAAAAAAGCAAAGGCTATAACATTTTCTGATGTACATGTATAAAAGGATGCAAAATTCATGGCAGCCATTTTGTTTGGGGGTGAATCCTACTTAGTAACGCTACCGCGTTACTAATTATATGCATTGATAACATTTTAAAACTATGAATTGTTACTTTTATGATACATATATGTAGGTTTGGTTCCCAGTCCCAGTGATGATGATATTCATTGCTGTATTCCTCATCTTTGTTCCTATCATTCTTGTCCCCAATGAGAGACTCTATTTCCTTCTCTCATTGATGCTGTTCTTTGCTGGTATACCTGTGTATCTCCTGTTGGTTTGGGATAGGCTGAGACCTAAAGTCTTTAGCAAAATAACCGGTGAGGTTTAATTCTTTATAACTCATGTTGCAAACTCTTCATAATTATTATTGCTATTTTATTTTGGAACTGTCAATGAGTGGTATTTTGCTTACACATGTAGATAAATTTTTGTATGTAAGCATTGAGTGTATTAAAATTTACTTATTTCCAATGCAGACAAATTAAACAAGGTCTTCATGTTCCTCCTGGACTCATCACTACCAGCTACTGCTCCTACAACTTCAACTGAAATCATTACTTACACAGCAAAGACTGATGGTAATGTCGACACTAACAATGACAACTGATTTCATTCATGTATTTTTATTTTTGCTGCCACCAAGTTAGCTACTTTTTTACTTAAATCTGAAAATATTATTTTTTTTGAATTGTACTCTAATAATGGAAAAAATTATGTCTACATGAACGTCATGAAGGCGTACATGCAACAGCAAATAATAAAAAGTGATCATTGATAAGAAATAAATTATTAATTATTTACAATATTGTCAATGGTCTCTATTAGCTCATCCACTTGTACCACTTTAACAATCTTATCCTTCTCAGACTGTAGATGTAATTCAAAATGATTCTCTTGTAACTAGACAAAATAAAAATTATTAAATACACTACACTCAACAATACCATGAATAAAGTAAATAATGATTATGATAAAGCACAAGAAACAAAACGACAAGTATAACTGTGATCTAAATTCTAATGCTTATAATGCAAGGCTGCATGACTTGTACTTAATTGAATGGAAAAAGGAGTCACATTGATTAAAACTAATTTACCATTGCAATTACAATTACTCTTATAATAGCACTACATACTTTTAGCTTACCTTTAATCCAATGACTACAGCTATGGGATACCCCAATAGCTCAATGTGTCTGACTCTCTCTCCAATACTCAACTGGGATCTATCATCATTGCAAGGACTACCTCACCAGGATACCTTGAATCAAGCTTATCATATAAATCCATTGCTTTAGACATCAACTGTGTATCCTTTAATATTAAAGAAAAAATAGCTATAATAATATGCACATCTCTGATATGAATAAGTACTAGTTTTATCACTTTCAGTATAATATTGTTCCTCACCTTTTTGTTGCCCAAAGGAGTGATGCACACACTCATAGGTGCAATGGATACTGGCCATATCATTCTCCCATTGTTTACAGCTAGACTGTGTTCTATTATAGTTTGCATTAGTCTTGATACACCAATACCATAACAACCCATTTCACATGCATAACCTACATGTATGATGAAATTAAAAATAAATGTGACAATCCTAATATAACTTAGTACATAAGTAAAGTGGATACCATATAGCAGAAAATTTTTGTGGATTTCATGTTTTTTTCAGAATCCAAGAAAATAAAATCTGCAAAAATTGATTCAATACGGTTCAAGATGGCCAAAAAGTAGAAAACCACAAAAATTAAAGCCACAAAATTGATTTTTGAACGGATTCATAAAATTTTTGGGCCACAAAAATTTTCCGATCAATAGTAGTTGACAACACAGAAAGCATAGTTCAAATAATATGTTGTCATTACATTAATATTGAATCGAAAATAACTGTGTTGTATGCTTTAAGTTGTACATGTATTGCAGTTTGTCTTTGTGGGACATTTTATCCATGTTTTTAAGTAAATTTTACTTCTTGTAACATTGCCAAAATCCCTTTTGCACTCACAATCTTAAAATAAAAAAATCATAACAAAAAATAAAGCATAATTACAAAAATTAATAAGCATAACAAAAATGATGTCAAAATCATAAAAAACTACTAAAATAAAGCAATTTTGCTAAAATCTATGCATGCATATACATGTACATGTAATAGTTACAGTTAGTTTCACAGTAGTTCATGTACTATATAGTGTACAAGTTTTAGGAGTGGTACTCAGTCCTCTATACCCAGAGTCTGCATGCGTGGCATCAAAGCTTTCTTAAGCTCCTCATACATGGCAGACAGTTTACTTGCTGCCATAACTAGACTGGTACCTCTACGTGGGCCAACAAGAGAGAGAGATGATGCCGACGAAACAATGTCAGAAACAGAATCAGTAAATGAGGGAGAACTAGTTCCATCAAAGGCATCTGCAAAAATTAAATTTTTCCAATTGGCAAACCTACTTGAGACTCCAATGCCACTAGCAATTTTCTTACAATAATCCTGACAGTTATTTAAAACTGCATGATAGGCCCCCATACTAGCAAGAATTTCGTGAGCCTTTGTGATAATGTGAGCAGCAGTGAGTGGCATTGTCGTACCCAATGACAGGGCTTTGAGGCCTTTATATTTTTCTGCTTTAAACTTACAAAGTTTCACATAATCACAATAAAATTCAGTTTTGTTATTTTCCTCATTCACCATGAGATGAACCAAAAACCCTTCTACATAGCCTGGTAGAAGAAACATCATTGAATAATGATCAAACAAGCTCTTAAATAAGATATACACATCCCATTCTTTTGCTTCATAACAACCTGGAAATGACGAGGAATATTCTTCATTCCACATGGATTCGATATATATCTTTAAACTTCCTGATACTCCAGTAAAAGGTCTAGCATAAAAATCTGAAAATTTAGATGCTAAATGCCTAGTAGACATACTGCCAAAGAGTTGCTTTCAAAAATATAAACTTAATAGACTCTGGTGACTGGTCTGAGAGAAAGTTGCCTTATCCAGTACATACAACAGTACAGTAATTGAGAAAATGCTGAATTAAAAAATATATATCATGTCATGTGAGTGGTATCATGTGACTGTAAGTGGTATGACAATGCCTTTTAAGGCCTTGGCTTTTTAGTGTCTACACTTGCAATGTGGTTTGCACATCCAGTTATTCCACACTATCTTGACATCATGTATAATTTTGATAGCATTTCTGATAATCTCATCCAGCTGCCATTGGTTATAACTTATAATACACATTCAAACTAGTGGTGGGTGATATATTGAAATTAACGATATTTTATCGATATAATGCGGTATCAATACGTATCGATATCGAAAAAAATTGAAAAGAAATAATATCGCCCACCCCTAATTCAAACCACATTATGTAGGAGGTGGTTTAACATAATGGGCATTGAAGCCAATTAGCATCATGACAGTGACTGGAACCAGTTTGGCAGTTTCAAAATGGTTCAAAGTGCTAGTGTAGAAAGGCCTTTAGTAACACCACTCAAAGCTATTACTCGTTAAAGCCTTTTCACACTAGCAAACTGCAGCATTATAACATTGGTCACACTGCATCACTTCACATCAACACCTCTGGAGGTGAAGTAAGAGTGATGCCCATTAAATTGAAACCACTCTAGTGTGAACACGATTAAATGCATATTACTTTTGCAAGTGTGAAAAGGCTTTTAAATTTATAGTTTGCTATTTACAAAGATGGAATGACTGAAATATTTAACAATAATGTGGGTGGGAAATTAGAAACTAAAATGCATGATTCAATTGAAATTTCCTATTTTAAAATAACATGCATAATGATTTCACAGGCATGTACATACACGTTAGAATGAATTGAACAGAAAATAATCAATTACAGTTTCTTTCCTTATTAAAATCAATGTCATTTTCGTAAGAGGAACATGTACAAAATAAAAGAATTTACTTACAAGAATGCAAATAACAATGTAATTATTATGATTGTCATAAAGTGCTTTAAATTTTTCTGAATAAGTAGTACCAAGGAAGAATGCATGTGCCACCTGTAACAAGGGCCACTAAAATTTACAATTCTCTCCCAAGCTCTATCACTGTATTTTATACCTCAATTCCTTTGTATTGAGAAACTGGACACTTCTCTTCATTCAGTGAACAATCAGGAAGACTACCAGTAGCACTGTCTCCTGTCACCTCATAATTAACAGCATGACCACATCTAGCATTAAAGTAGCAAATATAATTTTTTTCACTTAGTACAAAATCATTTCCAAAACCCGATCTACACTTCCATATAATGATGACTCATCCATGACAAAATACTTATGCAGCTATCAATGTCAAATGTTGTGTGCCTTCTTCACCCCTATCAGTAAACACAGGTCTAAAATTTTAGGGTAAACAAGATGGTGAACATCAATGGCCAGGGTACTACATGTATTAGAGGTGATTCTTTGATGTCAATAGGGTTATTATAACAATAATAACAGTAATTTCTGAGAACCAGGCAGGAATGTACAATGAACAGCTGCATAAGCTATAGCTGCCTATGCAAATTGAATAATAAGCAAATTTAAAAGCAGCCCATGACATAGAATCTACAAGAATACTTACAATTCACAAAAATGACATCAAAAACCACTTACAAGTCACATTTAAATATACATTTAATGGAAAAGCCTACTGGGTTTTAAAATCTTCATAAAACAGTATTTTGTTCTTAGAAAACTATGATTATCTTGAATTATTAACTGGTGAACTATAATAATTATAATTATTGTTAGATAATTATGTATAATATTCAATGTGTGCCTCTTTTTTAAATTGGACAATAATTTTAAGGTCTACTAATGGAAAAAGAATTTATGTCTCTACACGAAGGTACAGTGCAACAGCAAATAATAAAAAGTGATGATTGATAGGATTAAATTATCAATAATATTTTAAAATATTGTCAATGGTCTCTATTAGCTCATCCACTTGTACCACTTTAATAATCTTATCCTTCTCAGATTGTAGATGTAATTCAAAATGATTCTCTTGTAACTAGACAAAATAAATAAAAACGAAATACACTAAGCCCAAACCATGTCATGAATAAAGTAAATAATAATCATGATAAAGCACAAGAAACAAAAAGACAAGTATAACTGTGATCTAAAGTCTAATGCTTATAATGCAAGGTTGCATGACTTGTAATTAATTGAGTGGAAAAAGGAGTCACATTGATTAAGACTAATTTACCATTGCAATTACAATTACTCTTATAATAGCACTACATACTTTTAGCTTACCTTTAATCCAATGACTACAGCTATGGGATACCCCAATAGCTCAATATGTCTGACTCTCTCTCCAATACTCAACTGGGATCTATCATCAAGGACTACCTCACCAGGATACCTTGAATCAAGCTTATCATATAAATCCATTGCTTTAGATATCAACTGTATATCCTTGAAAAAATGATATATCAAAATCTACCATATACATGTACACTGTACACATAGTCCAAATTTTTGCTTGTGAAAAATTCCAGCAAATCTGTTAGGCATTTTTGTTTGACAAAGTTTTTAACTGAAAAATTTTTGCTCCACATGGGGTAGTACTTGTATGTAAATTGATAACAGAAATGACTATAGCAGACAAAAATTAACTTTAAGATTTCAACAAAATTTTTCACTGATAAAAATTGGGAGTTATATGAATTAACATTATTCCTCACTTTTTTATTGCCCAAAGGAGTGATACACACATTCATAGGTGCAATGGATACTGGCCATATCATTCTCCCATTGTTTACAGCTAGACTGTGTTCTATTATTGTTTGCAATAGTCTTGACACACCAATACCATAACAACCCATTTCACATAACCTATGATGAAATGAGAAATAAATGCTATAGGCATAAAGCCCAACATAATATTAGCAACTTTTGGCAAATGTTTCATGTGGCTGGACTGCGAGCAGTATGATCATTAATTTTGATGCTTTTATTGACATGAAATTGACAAAAGTAAACTGAATTTTAACATGCTTTCAATTAGAAGGCATACAGAAACATAAAACACAGTCAATTAAAGAAAATAATGCAATTTTATCATAATCATTAGAATCGTAACTAAATTATGCATGTTAATAGAGCTACTGGGTGCAGAATGTACTCATACTAAAATATATGCATGCATATAGTCAAGTAAATAAGAAGTTTGACAGCAGTTACACACTATCAATTTTGTCTTGCACAGTATTTCTCATAGAGGCCATCTATTGTCATGATTAGAGTGGAATCACTGCTAGGACTTTCAAGAGAGACAGGTGTTGAAGACGAAATTGCACCAATAACGTGTGGACCAGCACCAAAAGCTTGAAATAACTCTGCAAAAACTACTTGCATAAAATTGTTAAACCTGGTTGAGACCCCAATTTTTTTAGCAATTAGCTTACAATAATTCTGACAGTTATGTATAACTAAATTATAGTATTCCATGTTTTCAAGAAGAATGCCATGAGCCTCTGTAATTATGTGAGTAGCAGTGAGTAGCAATGTTGTACCCAATGACAGGGCTTTGAGGCTTGGACACTTGATTCTAAGGTCATCAAGTTCCACATACTTCAGGACAAACTGGGGTCTTTCTGTATTGGCTTCCATGAACACCAGGAGATGAACTAAAAATCCTTTGTTGTGGCCTGGTAGAAGAAACAACATTGAATAATGACCAACTACATCCTTATACAGCAAGTACACATCCCAGTTCTTTTCTTCATTATAATTTGGGAATGAAGTAGTTGCACATTCAAAATTGTTCCACAGGGATTGGATATATTGCACTAATTCATCAGGTGAACTTCCAGTAAAAGGTGGACTATTGTAAACTGAAGCTGTAGATGATGATAAATTCAAAGACATAGTGCCAAAATGTGAGTGATAAAACAGGTGAATGGGTTAAATACAGTGGGTTTACACACATGGGTAGTCTATGAATAATGTTACAGTAGTGATGCTGGCAGGAGTAGGACACAAAAACTATGCCTATACAAGCCTAATAAATAGTTATGGCTATGAAAATTGATTAGGCAAACTATGCAGGTTTATATCTATCTCCAATTGAAGAAATAGTGTTGTAGCCAGTATATAGTCAAGTAACTATGAGCTCTGAATATTTACCCCAAAAGCTACATGTACAAGTATATGATAAAATAATACTATTGTTCATAGTGACATGCAAGCCATGAAGAAATAAAATTTAAATTTCCTGCCATTACAATTTTACTTTTGTTTGTCATAAAGTGCTTCAAATTTTTCTGAATAAGTAGTACCAAGGAAGAATGCATGTGCCACCTGTAACAAGAAACAACCAATTACATGCAGTACAGTGCATTGTTCATGATATGCATTGCAACTTGTAGGCACTTTAAAATTCTTCCATAACAGCAAATGCATACACGTATCAACTCTCATATTCTCTTTCTCTCAATTTTATCTCTCCTATCTGTGTCTATTTTTACTTGAT